AAAATTAGCTAAAGTGAAGAAGCCCTTATATTCAAATAATGTTATTAGTAAATACAATATAATACATCCATCATTAGAAATCTAGCGTTCTCAATGTTCTCTGATAACATTAATTTTCTAATTTTTTTATTTTTTTTTATTAATAAACGTGAAAAATTGGCTAATTTATTTTGAGTTTCCAACAATGATAATATTCAAATTAAATTAGGAGTTACTTTTAATTATTAACAGATACACTGTGTTCTTTGTTTATTTTTGTCAATATATAAATAAAGTATTTGAATGAGCTATTTAGATATAAAAAAAAACATTAATAGATAAATGCTAACATGTTTAATATCCATTATTTTATTAACCTATGATCATGAAGAGTTTATGTATAGAAAGTTGACTTATTGATTATTACAATATCACAGTGTAACCAATTTAAGCACTATATATTTCATTTAAAAAAATAAAATCGTTAGACTGATTTTGTTCTCTGCAATAATACAGTAGTACTCTATTTAAGTGTTTTATGAAAAAATTAACAGCGAATTAGTACGTCCTAACTGAATGTGGTACGTGACTTCTGATCAGTGCCTACTCATCAACTTGAAATCCAAGAGGAATAGAACCTACATTACATAAATAAAATCATATTAATTGATAAAATAAAGTATAATATTTTAGTATATCTAATTACTCAAACCATACCCATATTACTAAGCATGTTGTTCTTTCCTCGTAATTTTGAACAATATTATATGTATTAATAAATCTACTCGCATACACAATATCTGGATATTCTTTTAATTTTTTTAATGTTATTGAAAGCTCTGGAATTCTCATATCAGCAGTCCTAAATTCTCTGATTATTTTTAATTTTTCATCACATTCACCAGATTTATCAGATTTGTCTGGTTTATTAGATAGATCAAATTCATCGACTCATCAAAGTCTTCAAATTCCTCAAATTCATCAAATTCGTTAGAGTCATCAGATCTACACACAAGACTATGCCATTCTGAAAGAATATTATGAATTGTTTCAGCTGTAGGTCTTTTTTGTGAGTCTGAATTCATGCATGATTTTGCCAATTCATTATAACAGTTAGGTGTCCCTATGGCAAAATCAGGTTTCACTCCATCGCAAATATCTGATGCGAGTCCAAGATTAAATGGACGTCCATAAAATGGACGTATTCCACTAGTCATTTCTGCCATAATAACACCAAAACTATATATATCAGCTGCCGGAGTATATTTCTGACTTAATAAAACCTCAGGTGCAACATAAGGCATAGCCCCATAAATTCTATCTTTTAAAATGCATTCTTCATTCTTTCTAGAAAATCCTAAATCTGAAATATAAGATTTTAATAAGCCAGGTAACTCTTTATGTTGCAAAATATTACCACAGTGAAGATCACAATGAGTGTATCCCGCCTTATGAATTTTAATTAAATCCTTTGAAATATCAATTAACAATGGTAATTTATCTTCCCAAGCAAGCTCTTCAAAATTCGACTTTAGATATTTATGAAGATCTCCTTTATCGGCATATTGAAATACCATCATATATTCTTCTGTTTCTGTATTTTGAGTTAAGCCATACACTGCAAGCCTACTACCACCTAATCTGCAATGCATATGATTTCTAAACTAATAAAAATAGAATTTATGTAATTAGAGATATTATACACGACATGCAATTGATCAAATTATAGCTTTAACTTACTTCTTTTAGGAAATCATTGGAATTTTTTTTTGATACAGGTAAAGTTTTGATGCTAACTTAATGGATTGAGAACGTATATGTTCATTTTCACTTGAAATGTTTTGATGCCAATTGGCCAAATATACAGTACCAAATCCTCCTTTACCAATCTCTCTTGTTACATCAAATTTTTCAAACGGAATCCACTCAATTGCTTGTCTTTGCTTAGTAGCATTAAGTTGAAACTCTTTAATGCAATCATCAATATCTTTATTACCACTTGTCCATTCCCGAATTATTTTGTAAGGATTACATGACTGGCACCAACCCATTGCAGTGTTAAATCGATTACAATTTATACATTTGCCATTGTGATTGTTTCTTTTAGAAGCAAACTCATCATTATCTTCGTCATCAATTGTATTTTCTGACACTATCATATATTCATCACTGGCAGGAAATTGTGTTATTCCATATATTTTAGTCGCATTGTCTTTTACTTGCACTTGATTTTTAAACTTAATAAAAAAATACAAAGTTAATTCATATTAACTTAAAATTAACTATAAAAGTATATAAACAATAATAATAATTATTTCAGCTCACTTTTGTTAAAAAATCCTGTGAATTAGCTAAAGACTTGAGTGTAATTATACATAGTAGTGTACGTGATTGTGTACATATTTTATCATTAAATTCACAAATTATTCGTGTGCCATCTAACCATTTTGCTAAAAATTTATCCTCAACTTTTTGAATATTAACTAATCTAATAAAGGAATCCACTCAATCACATTTTCATAATTTGTAACTTTAAGTTGAAATTCTTTAATGCACTCATCAATATCCTTATTTCCACTAGTTCAATTTTGAGCTGTTCTTCGGGGATCACATGTCAGACACCAAGCTGGCTATGTGTTATATCAATTACAATATGCACTTTTCCATTAAATCCACTTCTTTTGGAATAAAATTTATCAAATACCATCATATATTCATTAGTAGTTGTATTTTGAGTTAGCCCGTATACTTTAAGTTCGTCATCCTTTATACGTATGTAAATCTGGTAGGTAGTTAATAAGTATGTACGCATGGTAATAATAAAATAAATATAGATTTTATTTTATATCTTACCTCTTCTAACAGATCCGTTGAATTTTGAAAATTATGTAATATTTTAAGGTCAACCATACATGATATACGTGATTGTGTGTATCCGTTCTCGTAATTATACTTGAAAATTAGTATGCCATCTAACCAGGTTGCTGAAAATTCATTACCATTCTTTTGAATATGATTTAATCTATTAAAAGGAATCCACTCAATCACATTTTCATAATTTGTAACTTTAAGTTGAAATTCTTTAATACAGTCATCAATATCCTTATTTCCACTTGTTTTCTGAAGGTCGCATGTCTGACAACAGGCTTTAGAAGTATTATATCTATTACAATACGCACATATTCCATTATTTTTGTTTCTTTGTATGTGAAATTTATCAAATACCAACATATGGAGTGTCTCATATTAAAAGGGACCATTTTTACATTTTTAAAAATTTTTTATTTATTTTATTTTTCGATAAATATGTATTCAAAGAAAAGATTTACTATAAGTTGCAAGTACACATTACATAATAAAAAAAGTTGTGAGATTCAAAAAACTAAAACCGTCATAGAAATCTAGATCTTATTTCACCTAAAAAAGTTAAAACGTTAAATTATACTTGGGCTCTAACCACCAAGCCTTCTCTTGTAAATACAAAGTATTTTAATACAATTTCTTTTAAACACACAGTCTTCTCTTAAATACAAAGTCTTTTTAGATTAAAGTCAAAAACTACCAGTAATAAAAGTCAAATTTTAACTGTTAGTAGAAATGTCTGGTTTTTCTGATTTTGGCATTTTACTTCTGTTGTTTAAAGGGCTGTGAATTTTTTTTGGTTTAGTGTTTTTTTTTTCTTTCTTTTGGCATTATACTGATGAATTTTCTTTATCTTCAGGTCTTTCGGCGATTTTCTGGTGAAATTTCTTATGGTCCCTATGGTCTTCCGGTGATTTTAATTATACACGTCACTCTCGATATAACATAGTACCTCCGGTACATAGCGAGGAATTTTTTAAAATCTGCTTTATCGTGAATTTTATTAGTAAATCCATTATATCAAGTAGTATTTATTATGATGTGGATCTGAATCTTGATCTATTATATCGAGATTTACTTAGTCTCTGTTATATCAAGAGTGACGTGTATGCCTTTTTTTTTTATTTTGCTAACAAAATTTTCTTTGTCTTCAGGTCTTTCTTGTAGTCTCCCTTGGTCTTCTGGCTTTTCTGGTACTTTAAATGTGTTATTGGGTTTTTTTCTGTTCTTCTGGATTTTACTAATTTTTTGTCTTCAGGTCTTTCGGCGATTTTCTGGTGAAATTTCTTGTAGTCTTCCAGCTTTTCTGGTATTTTAAATGTACTAAAAAGTCCCAGCCCTTCAGTGTAATTTGAATTTTTAAATATTGGATTATATTGGATTATACCTTTATTAAAACGAGCAGTTGTAAAGGATCATATATTCAAATCAAAGTAAACAAAAAATTTATCAAATTTGAAACCAAATAATAGCAGTTCAAGCCTAATTATGATATTCAAGTTATAAAATGCTCACTCAGATTTTTATCATTTCAAAAGATAATACTCATACATATATATATAATACTGTAATAATCCGTGTTATATGAGACTATTTCGAAAGCATAAACTTTGCATATTTGGATAAGTTTATTTAGTTTTTAATATTTAACAACAATTCTTTTTTTTTTTCTTCTTTATATTAATCAGTAAATTCTCAATAATCGGGAAATACGTTGATTCAATAATATATGTTTATTAATAATTGACATAATTGAGAAATGACATAACTCTTATAAAAAACTTCTTATAAATACGATTCAATTTGTTTTTATGTACATTCATTTGAGATGTCAAATGCCAAAAACATCAAGGATACAAAACATAATAATAATACATACAAGTCGATAACAATATTTATAAAAAAATATAAAAATAACAAAATGTTCAATGTTCTAAGATATAGATTATACATGAATAGAACAATTCTGTGCGTAACACTTCGGTATTCCTTAAGCACATTGTTTCAAATCTCATATCCTGTATCGCGGTAAAAAAAAAAATGATTCAAATAATTTATTTATATGGTCTTTTTATCTAGAAATTTCTGTAATAGTTTGGATTAAAATTTACTTTTGCACCATGCAACTACATATATAAAGCATAAACAAAGTAAAGCACTTACGTTTCGCTCAATAATTTACAGTACTCTTTACACCAACTAGTTTTTTCATATTCTGTGCTTAACAATAGTTCTTTTTCTTTTAAAGCTATCAATTCACCTATCCAATTTTTAATTGCCTTTTCCATATCTTGCAAGGACGTACGGTTTTCAATTTCTTTATGATCTCGATAAATAAAATAAGGAGGTAAAGGAGGAAGCATAAGCTTGCCAAAAAACTCTGCAGCGGCTCTCAACGTCTTTTTGCCAGTAGAATGTTCAATTTTTTCATCTACTTCTAAACGCATATCAGTATTAATTTCTTCTCCCAAAATTTTTTTCGAAACATCCTTGATTATTTCGATTTTTTTTCTATCTATATTCTGCTCTTTGTATTCTGAGTTTTCGAAGTGTGAATGAATTTCTTTGAATCTTTCAACAGCCTCCTTTAACTTCATTAGTGAATTTTCTAATGTTTTACCATTTTCTTTGTCATCAGAAAAGTATTTTTCAAATATTTGATATGCTTCATTTTCCTTCATAATTGCATTAGAATCAGAAACTGCACCAACTGTCGAACCAATAACTGCTATAATAGCTCCTGCCACCAAACCAGGAGGAAACCATATTCCTGAAATTACAAAAACTTTACCACCTAGTACCAAACTATTACCTACAGTATTAATCACAGATCGTTGTTTCATTTGCCCTTTTACCTCTTCTTTACATTTTACAATAATTTCAATTATTTTTTCCCGTCCGATTATGATCTCTCTTAAATAATTAATACTATTATTTAAATGTGATTCAATGTTACTAATTGCTTCTTTAGTATCGCTTATTATTGAGTTGAATTCATCAATCATTTTGCTAAATTTAGAAAGTAGTTCAGGTCGGTAAATTTCTTGACAAGTATTTAAATGCGTTAATAATTTTTTGCGAGATTCTTCTCGCGATTCTTTTGAAAATGATTGATAACGGCCTCTGGCTGGTGGATTATCTACGTAAATAACCACTGTACGAGCAAGCTTCTTGGAAAATTTCTCAGTTTCCTCACGAAATATTTTACGATCTCTTTCACAAGCTTCATGATCTTCGAAATCAGGAAAGTTAGTACAAACAATAGTAGTGTAATCTGTTACATGATCATCAAAAATAGCTTTTCTAAGTAAATTGAAAGCTTCAATTTCCTCCTGAGTAAAACGGCCATTAGTCACAAATAATATTTGATTTAAACCTTCACTAATAATATCAGCTTTATCTTCTAATTTACTTAATATTTCTCCTTTTGACATGGTAGAGTCACCAATTCCTACTGTATCAATAACACGATAATTTATTCCTTCATATTCAAATTCTTCAGATTTTGATTCGGTAGTTCCATGAATGCGATTTGTGCTTTCTTCAAATTCATTAGTTCCAGTTAAAACGTTTGCTAAAGTGGACTTTCCTTTGCCAGCGCTTCCTATTAATAAGATATTTCTAATTTCTGCCCTGATTTGCATTTTTATTAAAACTTTTATTGTTATTAAAACTTATATAATTAGTTTTAATGAAATAACCGACAATAATTTTAATGCTCAGGTATTTTGCTTATTTCTTTTATTTCTTGCAAACTTTAAATACTATTTGCTTTTTTGTATGCAACAAATTATTCATATAAAACGCAATAATGAACACAACTTACTATTATGTATAAGTTTGTGAAACGCTTTTTGTTAATTTTCTGATTTTGGTCTTTGCTTTTTTATTGTACTCTGGTATCACAAAGGAGGGCGTACATACGTCGGAACTTTATTTATTTTCCTAAAAAGGAACAAAATTGATCCTATTAATAATTCGAAAGTTTTCTCAATAACTACTTGATTTAAAAGTTTTTATTTTGATTC